AACTAGCATAATTAACATAGTTAACATGCCAAACAAACCAAGGGATCATTTCTCTTCAAGAAAACTTATTTTTGTTTGCTGTGGTGATAAGAACTTAAAATGCATTGAACTGGTAACTGGAAATCCTTTACTAATCTTGATTCAACTGTATGCCAACACTAACTATAATATGACACTTCTTTCTAACCCTATTGGGTTATGTCCAAGCTGCAAGATTTATTTGTACTCAGCTAAAAAAGGAGAAACTTTATCACTAGTTATTTTAGAGAGGTGGTTGCTCGCATCAGAGAGAATAAAGTTACTTCCGAGATTTAAAGGTAATACTTTTACTTACACTTACTTATGCATATAATAAAAGCTATAAATAATATGAATAAACATTTGTTTATATATATATAAATATAGGTGAGACAGTGTCAACATGTGATTGCCTGCTCTGTATCATGTCAAGAGATAAATCCAAATCTATAAACCTTCAGGTAATTTATAAAGAACTCATATATGTAGCTCAATTATTTACATTAAAAACATTTATAAAATTACAACTTTTATTATAGTTTAATTAAGTATATTTTAAATAAGTATAGTTTTTTATTTATTTAGGATGTATTAAACATGTACATTAATGACCCTGAAGTGCCAAAGGAGGTTATAGATAAAATTTGGTGTACTTGTTATCAGAGAATTGGATCTGGAATTCAACATCCCTGTAATAAGAGAGACATTGTACAGAACCTAAAAACACGGCTAATGTCAACAGGTAAGAGCTTAATTATAGTTTTTTTAAACCTAAATTTTTACGTAATCCTAAAACTTATTTATAAATTTTCAGGTTTAAAAACAGTTGAGCAAGGACTTAGCAAATCTCTGAAAGAAATTCAACAATTTAAAAATATTGAGTTAGACATCATTGTTAGATTGTCGACTGGAGGAACTCCTTTAAGTCTGCAGATAGGAAAAAAGCCAACCCTTAAAACTATCTCTACCCAAACTTTCTATAATATCAAAAGAAAGCATGATATGTCAGACTGTACTATTGATTCAATAGCAATGGAATTAAGAAAAGATATGGGTAGATTAGGTGTGGAATCTAATTCTTCCAAAAAAAATTAAGATAATGTCACATGCCTTAGATAACTATTACTCAGTGGAAAAAGTGGAATTTCTATCAAAAAATAAAGCTAAAGAAAATAAAACTATTGAAACTGTCATTAAAGATCTAGTGTATGTCAAAGATCCAGTATCTCTAGTTAATCATGTTTGCATTGCTAGGGGACTAGAAGTCGAGAATGTTATTATTCGTATAGGAATAGATGGTGGCCAAGGATCTTTAAAAGTTATTATGAATGTTTTTAACAGAGAAGTAAATTATGACTCCAAATACTGGAGTGAACAAAGTTATAATATTGGCTTTTGCCAAAAATGTTTGCGAAAGCCACACAAATCTTCAAATCTTATAGAAAAAACAAAGCTAAACAATTTAAAGTTTTACCTTGCTGCAGATCTTAAATTATGCAACATAGTTTTGGGTTTGTCAGGACATGAGGAAAAATATTCATGTTTATTTTGTGATGGTGATAAAACTAATCTTGGAGAACTGAGAAACTTTAATATGCTTAAGAACACGTATAAAAACTTTGCTGAAAGTGCATTTAAAAAAAGCTCTATGCAACTCTATAAGAATGTTATACATCCATGTCTCCTGGTTGAGTCTGGAGAGATGTATGTGCTTGATGTCATCCCTCCTCCAGAACTTCATTTAATGATGAAGATTATAACAGAAATTTCAAATGTCTTCTGTAAGGAACCTGATGTTGCTCTCTGGTTAAAAAAGCATGGAATTATTTGGCATGGGTATATTGGAGGTGGACTGGATGGTAGAAATGCTAACAAAATACGAAAGCTTTTGCCAGATTTGGAAAAATTTATCTTAGATAACTTTTCTTATTATTATCCAGTTGTTGAACTATTAAAGTCTTTTTCTTCAGGTAAATTTTAAATATACTTAATTTTACAAAGTATTTATATATTAAAAGTTAATTATGATTTAAAAAGAAATATTTATTGAATCAAAAGCAATTTCTCATAAACAACACTAAAATTTACATTTAGTAGTAAACATGTGTTTCAGAATGAAACTCCGTGACGGTTATCCTGATGCCATTGCAACATATATAAGAAAGTTAAAGGTAATAGTTACATAAATGCATAACAACTCATACATTTAAAAATAAAGTTTTAATTTTTGTTTATATTAACCATTTTTTAAATTTTTAATTTAGGAAAACCAAGAGTATGTGAAGACTACATTCAACCACAACCTTTCTATGGGATGGAAAGGTCATATAATTGAACACCATCTTGCCATGTTTTTAAATAGAACTAAGCTGCCATTGGGAGTATTTTCTGAACAATGTTCTGAATCTGTTCATCATAATATGTTGAAAACACTGAGCAGATTCTCAACTTCAGAATTCAGAGAGAACCATGGAGAGCTTCTTAGAAAGGCAATAGTTGAATATTCAAGTCAAAAAATTTAAGTTTTTTCAGGACGTACTTCAAATAATTTGTTCTTTTCATAATATTGTCTGTATAATAGTCCTGAACACTTTGTAATAAAAAATTTTTAAGTAATCAAATTTTCAACCAAAACGACCTAGAATTGACTAGTGAAGAACAAATAATCATACTATATAAACACAAAATTTTAAAAACATATTAACTAATATTATATAATAAATAATAGAGCAGTTTTAGTAATTTTTTTATCATGTATTCAAAACAATGCCTCATTTGACCTAACATTCTGTTTGCTTTTCATGCTATCATATTTACATGGCTTTGCCATTTTAAATCATTAGATATTAGGACATTTTAAATCTTGTTCCAAAGATGTTTTTAAAATAGTACATTGACTGGCATTATTTGTTAGATTCATATAATATTTATAGTGTAGATTTTTTTTTCCAATATGCATAATTTGACATTTTTCTATGTTGAAGAGTAACAACTATTTCTCACTCCATTTATTAATGCTAACTAAATCCTTTGTAATTCACAGTTGTCATTGATGTTTGTAATCACCAAAATAATTTTTGTATCATCAGCATACAGTTTACAACAGTTTTTTATTTTTTATGATATATCATCAATATATAAAATAAACAACAATGGCCCCAACACTGAGCCCTGTTGCACTCCATTTTTTTTGGTGTTGATGAAATATTTGGACAATTTTAATTGTCTAATGAGTCTGTTTAGCAAATGAACAATGTCTAAAGAGTTTTTCTTTGTATTTTTTCAAAAAATAAATTAAACAATTTTCTATTGATTATCGATTATTGATAGCGATATCGATATTATTTATTGATTATTTTATAGACTAAACAATTTTCAATCGATTGCATGAGCCCACAGTATTACATATAAAAATATTATTATTGTGGTTTTCCCATGCAAATTTAAATAATTTTCTGGTGACGAGTTCAAACTCTAATTGATCTATGAAACTACGATCACCAAATTCATAATTTTCAACATTGTTAATTCTAGTAGCATCAATTTTAACATCAATCTTATTAGATAGTTTGTTTAATTTAATTTATCATTTTGAATTGAAGTTATGTCTTCAGCAAGCAATTCGATTTGTGCAATCTTAAAGACCAAGAACCATTATCTTTTTAATAAAATAGGCAAAAGTAACCTGGCAACATAAGGCAAAAAAATCAGCTATCGCTAAATATCAACTATTAATGTAACAGTTTTACCTTTTCTAAGACAGTTCGTGGTTTTTTTCATCTTTTTAACACTTTTAGGAATAATATTATAGACAAAAGATTTCTAACATGGTGATTATGAGGCTCTAAAATTCACTTTAAATACATTTTACCCAACTCTTGGGTTACCTATTGGATGATATTACAAACTTAATTATATAAATGATATCCTCATCTAAGCATAAATCATCTTCATTATCAAGACTTTTATTATAACAAGTACTTGAAGAGTGTCATCTGTGATTTTTTAACAAAAAAAACATGACATATAAATCACTTATCAATAGTTATGACAAGTTATCAATGCTGAAAATTACCTGATTATGCTAAGTAAAAACACCAGAAGAAGATTGACGACGTAAAACCTGTAAAATGGTAAACTTCAGCTAAAGCCAATTGAAAAAACTGTAATTTTTCTTTCCTGGCTTAGAATCGATTTCAGTTTGGCAATTTAAAAAGTTTAAAACTAAAATGTAAGTTTTTTCAGTATCATAAAATTTAAAAGTCATTAAAATGTCTCAAAAACAGTCCAACGTTCATTGTCTTGAGCAACCTAATTTTTCCAGTAAATCAATACTATTTTTAAAAACCAGCAATTATGCTTATTTTGAGTCCCAAGTTGACAAAAAAAAAAATTTTTAACAACTGATCTGAATGATCTAATGTGGTAGTGGTAAAGCATTTACCTCATAAGCAAGAAGTTCCGCATTCGATCCCCACCACATCCCTGGTATTACCGTGATCTACTTGTTTCTTTGCACAGCAGCCTTGTTCATCAAGGTTTGTGTTTCAGAGTTATATAGTTGAGAGAGGGTTGTAACCACAATTACAGTAGCCTCCTTGACTGTAGTTGCCTTCTCGGCCTTGGGGAGGTGAATTACATTTAAAAAATTTTTTTTTTAAATTTAAAAATTGTATTGAAATATTAATAGACTGGAAAATGTACAACGTAGATCAACTAGGATTGAAACACTGAAAGGCATCTGTTATGAAGAAAGGAGAAAAATATTAGGTTTACCAACGTAGCAAGTAAGGAGAAAAGTTAACTTAAAAGAGATGTTTAAAATACTGAATATATTAGATTTAAAAAGCCTAATTTTACAGATTTTACAGCTACATGTCCAGGAATCACCATAATAAAAGGCTTTATTGAGAATTTGCTAAAAAATATATTTAGGTTTTACTATTTAACAAAGTGGTTTAAACAATTTAACAACTAGAATTTCTTATTACAAGATGCAATCGATTCAATTCAACAAAAACACGTTTTAAAAAAAGAATAGACAAAATTCTGACCTTTTGATACCAAACTATATTCATGAACTATTTTTATTAACAAAATCTTACATTTAAAGGTTGTTATAGTCAAAACACTATGTAGTTTTGATTAGGGATTGTTACCAGGAATTTGTTTCTAGTAAATTTCTGTGAAAAATAATAAACCGAAAATCCGAAATCCCTAGAGTTTTTTTTATCTGTAACTATGAATTTTAATAATAAATCGTTAACTTTGATGAGCTGGAAGTAGTTGAAAGTTTACTAAAAAGTCTTATTGCTTAGAGCTTATTGTTTTAGGTTCTGAAATGATTTATAGAAGTGTGAAACAATATTTTTTACAGCTGATGACACAGTAAAATTTATTGTTACAGAACTTGATACTTAAGATTACTATTTAGCAAATAAACTGAAGAATGCTCTAGTTGAAAGAATGTGTCAAAGAAGAAAAAGCGATCTTGTTGGTTTATTAAGGTTTTTAAATAATCCAGTCTTTAAAAATTGATGTTTAATAACTTATTTTGTATACCATCTAAAACAGAGTTGATAAACATAGCTATTAAATTAACTGAGAGACTTTTCCCCATTTTTGAAAATATACCAAAATTACAAGATAAAATTAATAATGATAACCTTAACAATATATAAGATTAATAATAAGCTTAACAATAGAAGTGTCAGTTTTGAAAAGTAATTGGAATCTAAGGCTGAAAGATTAGAAAAGTTTGTAAAAAAAAAGAGACAACTTTGTATTTAATTGTAATAAACCAACTCTGCGTCAAGAATTTAATTTGTTTGAAGAACCAACAAAAGATTACATCATTTAGATATGCTTTATAATGCACTTTTAACTATTCAACCATCCAGTGTTGAAGTTGAAAGAGTGTTTAGTTCCACAGGTTTATTTTTTACAAAGTTTAAAACTAGATTATTAGACAGTCATCTGGATGCACTGTTTCTTCTAAAAGGTCACTTTATATCGCAAAAATATTTTTAAGAATAAAGTAAAAGAAATTTATTTATTTGTATTTTATTTAAATCCCGAAAACACTATCAATAATAGCAAACCTATATGTGTATCAACTTCATATATTTTTTCAATACTTTTCGGAATGATAAGCGGCGAAGTGATTCTTCTTTCCACAGCTAAGACTACTCCTTCTGCAGTTTGAATGCCAATAGCTGTCGATCCAAGCTAAACAAAATTTTTTAAAGATAAAAAAACACCAAATAAAATATTTTTAACATTTAAATTTATAATAATATATAATTTAACTACTTTAATTGCTTCAATCGCATACTCAACTTGGAACAATCTGCCTTCAGGTGAAAAAAGGTTAACACCACTAAAAATTAAATCAAAATACACAGTTACAAAAATTTAAGAGAAAACATAAGATTATATAACATGTTTAAAGTGAAATGTTTTAATGTCATGTTAATCTACAGGCACATTAAAAAAATGAAAGTTTTAATTACAGTAAAAAACTTATCAAATTTAAAATATATTTTTTAAATTAGAGATTATAATTAAATTTAAATTAAACTATCCTTGTTTTTCTTTTTGGCTTTACTTTAAATGTTTCTTTGTGTATTTAATGTTTCTTTATGTAGGTTATAATCTTTGCTTTTGTTTTTAGATCATAAAACATTTTTCTTTTCTATTGATATTTTGTCTCTCTATTCCAATAGGGAGTGGATTAAATTCTCCCTATTTATTATGCCTTAATAAAATAGATTTAATTACCTCTTATTTAAATAGAGTTATAGAAAAATGTAAATATAAATTAATTACAACTAATATTCTCAAGAGAGAAATAATAAAGTAACAAATAACAACAATAAAGGTTAAATTAAGGTTAAAAAATATTTTAGTTAAGTTATTTTCAATATTTAATATTAATATAAATCTTAAATATAAAAAGTTTAGTTGCAATTTTTTGATTTTTCTGAGAAAGATTTAAAATTTAAAATTCTTAATAAGACTTTGAATTTTCACTAATTTATCTATAGCAAAATAAATATTCTAAATTAAATAGTATAATTAAATAAAAATAAAATTTGAACAGTTTTATTTTACCGATCATATTCTGTTCTTGTGAGAAACATGTTTTAGATAATTTTACTACTGCACCTGAAAATAAAAGAAATTTTGAAACAAATACTAGACCAAATTTTTACACCTTTTTTACACCAACTCTACAAAAGGAGCAAGACTTCAAACAACAGTCTGAATGCCACTTTTTGGCACTTTTTATACTCAAATTTTTGACAATGTTTCTTTTCAATAAATAATTGTTTATTTTATAGATCACTAAATACTAGCTTCACAAGTTAATAGAAAATTTGCATGTATAATTGCATTTCAAAAAGCTTTTTGATGATTTATGTGTATATATATATATATATATATATATATATATATATATATATATATATATATATATATATATATATATATATATATATATATATATATATATATATATATATAAATAAATATATATATATATATATATATATATATATATATATATATATATATATATATATATATATATATATATATATATATATATATATATATATATATATATATATATATATATATATATAGAGAGAGAGAGAGAGAGAGAGATATATATGCATACGAGTTAAATTTATATATTTATTGGTTTTTAAATTTATATATTCCAATATTGGAAAGCAGCTTTCAATTTATTATTAAACAATATTAAAGTTCGGATCGTTTAAAAAGCTAGATTAAAGCTACTGACAATTTTATTTTGAATAATATATAAGTTTATTATTAGAATTTAAGTTACAATCGGACATATACGATAATAATATACTTTCCAATATAATCTTAAAAAAATATTTGACGCAAAGTTAATAGTGACAGAGCATTTTGCATTCTCAAAAATAATTAGTGTTCTTGACGTCCGTAAAAGAATTTTGGACCTAGATGAAACTAATTTCCCCAACAACAAAATATTTAAAAAATATACTTCCGAAATAAAAACTGAAAAATTGATCGAGAAAGTTATCATTTGAGATCTTAATTTTGCTGTTATATTAGGGATTTAGTTTCATTGAAAAAAACTTACTTATATTATATAAAGTATCGCCTGATTTATTTTATCCCTTCTATTAAAAAAACTCAACAGTCAAAAATTGGCCCCCACATCCTGAAATGAGGCCCCTATGCTGGAGCCTTTAGCGAACCCCGACCACCCCCCCTCTCCCACCTTTATGGTTGTGCATACAAAAAAAGAAAGAAAAAAATTCTTGGGTAGATAAAAAAAGGGAGAAAACCATAAAAAACAAATAAAGTCTGTTATTTAAGAAACCGCTTATACTAATGATTAATCTGAAAGATTACTTGACCAAATTATGTTTACCTAGTGAAATTTGTGAATAAAACGCGGGAAATAGTTTACACAACGGTCCAAAAAATCATGGTTTTGAGTACTTTTTAAATACAAATGTAAAGCTATTGTGCGTGCGTGTGTGTGAATCAATATATATGTATATTATTTGTGTGCACACATATCGTGTGCATACACATGTTGAGTATTGATATATCAATTTTACTCGGGCCCCCTTTACCTCCGGGCCCCATGGTCAAAGTGCTGTTTAAATATCTTTTTTTAATTTTAGACCTGATTGCGGCATGTACAACAAAATGTAATAACAAAAAATGTTAGCAATTAAAACGTTTTGTTTTGTTAGTTTTTTTCGCAACATTAACGATATAGATTCTATGAAATAAACTTAATTACTATGCTAGTTTCTTGTGGAATTTTTTTTATCTCTTAAGAAGTTTTGAATCTTACTTGTGAACAAGTATTCATCAAAGAAAAAAAAATGGAATTATTAAAAATTTGCCAGCTGAACAACTGAACTTTGTGAAATTAAATGTATGATGTAGCAAAGTGGGAATGCATAAATATAATATTTAGTGTCATTTTTCAGAGTTATAATGGCTAAAGACAAATCTCAAAGAAGTTGAAGTAATAATCAGAGAGTCAATTTTTCAAAGAACTACAACTCTACGAGATCCTAAGTGCTTATTTTAGACATGAACATTTCATCATATTCACAGCAACTTGTTACTTTCATAAAAGTATTACATTTCAGAATGGAAAGTTTTACAGTTCAGAGTGGAAAATTACAGTTCAGAATGGAGATACAGTTCAGAATGGAAAAGTATTACAGTTCAGAATGAAAAGTTCAAACTTGATAAAAATTTTAATTTAATGAAGTTTCCAGTTGCAATCATATCAAATAAATTATAGCATGATCGTAATGTTGCATTTACAAATAACAACCAACTTATTAACATGGTCTAGAGTATAGCCTCTGGCGTATAGCTCCATCAGTTTCCACTTTCTATTTCTGGAGTGATGGATGTGCTAGTCAGCTCCAATCTCAATTTGTTTTTCTGTCCTTCTCTTATTACCCTGAAAATATTAATTTGACTTGAAGTTATGGTGAGGAACATCACCTTAAAGGATTCCATGATGGATTTGGTGAAAGTATTTAAAACCGTGACATGTGCTTTCATGACATTATATCGCTTTAATTGACTAGTAATGTAAAAAATTTTAACGTTAATCGTTTTACTCGTGGTCATGCTATGCGAATAAAAAGTCGAATGTTAAAGCATTACAGAGGCGATATTTCTTTACCAATCGTGTAGATGAACACTAGAGCTCTTTGCCAGAACAAATCATTGATGCTCCAGGATTGAGAAATTTATATGATCGTCACGTTGTGAGGATCATATAAACTTCTTCAAGGATATTGAAATTTAGATTTTGAAAATAACACTTTATTTTTTATTAATGTATTATGTACATAAACAACTTTGAGTTCAGAAAATATCTAATAAAAATACTTGTAAATTTAACTTAAAGGTTTTACCTATTTAAAGAAATTTTTTTGCTGTACCTCTATTAAGGTTGTTATAATTTAAGCCCGAAGTAAAAACTTGATTTTACCGCCTTTTAATCATTCCTTCCGTGACGCAAGTTTTGAAAACCTATAACAAAAACTGTAAAACTCAACAGTCAAAAAACAGTCTTTAACTCCAATTACTATTGTTTTAGAGTAATTTGTAAAATATTATCAGTACCATCTATGCGTTTTTACTTTTTTTTTAAATTTACAATTTAGTCTATACATTTCCTTCCGTGACAAAAACAATACTTTTCATCCTTGCATGTTTAATTCTAAACTTTTTCCCTTTATCGCAGAGTTTTTTTTATTTTTAAATGCAATAATCTCATAGAAGATTGCATCGGTTGTCAGTAAAATCTAGATAACACTTTAAAGGAATAGATTTAGCGCTTTCCTCTAAAGTTATGGCTATTATATAGGTTTCCTAATGCGTCCGAAACAATGCGAGGAGTTTAATAATATTACTATATTGTACAATATATTTGTTAATAATAATGATGCGGCCGTGGCGGAGTGGTTGGAGCACTTGGTTTATAAGCAGGAGATTCAGGTTCGAAACGAGCATTGGATATGCTTCGCATCACGGTAAGGAAGGAGGTGTGAACTTCCTGGTTAAACGCCATTCCGCGGTGCTCTGTGACAAGACCGTTAGGACTTCTTGGGGCACCTAAAATATCATGAGCGTTTCCCAAATGTTAAAGAGCAATTTATCTCCCTTCCGCAAATACAAAAAAAAATGAAAAACTTTATCTTTCATATTAGCAAGTGTTATTTTATTTCAAAATGACAAGTCAACTATGTTTTAAATATGATCCAATACCTAGTGTCATTGAAAAAACTAAGACTGTCACTTGGGAGTATAATGAAAAACTTTTAAATGTAAAATAGTTAATTTTAAAATGTATTTATGACGCATGGCAATCAGTGACGGATCCAGCATTTTTTGGTTTTTAGATAGCTACCTTCCACACATAGAGCAAGCTCAAACATATATATGTTTATACTTATGTTAAATAATGATGCTTTGCAAAAAATTGCGATGATTGGAGGCTGGGAATAAAAAAACCCTAAAATTTCATCCTCCTACCCCACCCCAAATGTGAGGACAACAATTAGTAACCCAGTTTAAACCCTCTCAATTTGAGGGGTTACACATTTTATATGGTCATAGTTTTTGAATGCTGAGATATAAAACTATGAAACTATATAAGTCAATTATATAAGTTATAACTATATAAATTTATTGGTGAGCATCATTGCAAAGCATCATTATTTGGCATAAGTAGAAAAATACAAATGTTTGGAGTTTGCTCCATGTCTGAAAATTATCTCAAAAACCAAAAAATGCTGGATCCGTTTATAATGGCGAATGGCTATTTTCTGATATTTAACAGTAGTTAATTGAAGTGGATTTACAATTTTTTGCACTTTTCTGCTTACTATAAAAAGAATAACTCTTTTCAGTATTTTCTTTAAAATGGTTTTCTATTTAAAATTTGTTTAATTAATACTCTGAGTATTAGTTGAAAAAAAAATCTCAAAATCATATATTGACTTTTTTTTTTTTGACCATTTAAGTTTAAGAGCATCAAAGTTGCGTATTTTAAGATATTGAGAGCATCAAATATTGCGTATCGTCGTGATACTAAACTTGTATGTTTTATGTTTGATTCTACGTCAGAACTTGTTAATTTTTAGCTTAAGTTATATAATTTAAATCCTTAACTTTAGATAAAATCAAAATCTTCAATATGAGTATTTATTTATTTTGTAACACACATATTTCTTCAATTTGTCCACGGTAAGCTGCCTCCGTGAGAATGTCACGGGATTCAATTAAATTTGTAAGACAACCTTTGTGATTTACAAATCCATGCTGAGATTTTGAAATTAGATTGTGTAGTGTACAGTGTTTCATAATCCTCTCTTTTATAATTCTCTCTATTACCTTGCACGGTACAGAGGCAAGAGATACCGGCCTATAATTACAAGCTTTGAGTTTGTTTCCTTTTTTGAAGATAGGAGTAACATTTGATTTACGCCAAAGATTTGGGAAAATCCCAGTTTAAAAACTGCTTGAAAATGAGTGAAAGAGGTATTGCAAAAGCTTTTGCGCAGTTTTTTAGAACACGAGGATGTACTCCGTCAAGTCCCATTGATTTAGTGTCGTCTAGGCAGAATAAATAGTTTTGTACTGTAGCAGCTGTAAACAAACTTTCGTCGATTTCGCAAGTTAATTTTATTCTCTCTTCAAATATTGGTAAAGGTGTTGGGGGTTCTTCGACAAAAACTGAATGAAAATAATTGTTTATCGTTGAAGTTATAAACTTAGAGTCTTCGGTGATGTTATCATCGCTAGTTTTAAGCATACTAATGTGATTATGAACTTTAAGCTTGTTTTTTACATGTGAGTACAGACGTTTTGTTGTTCGTAATGAAGGACAGCCGCATTGATCACTTTTTTTAACGTATTTGCATGCAGCCTGATGTTCATTACGTAATTTTGCATGAGAATCTTTACCAGCAGCAACGTATTTTGCCCAAGTTGAACATTTTATTTTTACTGCTTCCAATACTTTTGGTGTGACTCAAAGATCTTGCTTAATTTTAAATGGAGTCGTTGTTGATGGAATGTGCAATTTTACAGCTTCGTTGTATTCGTCAATAAACCAACTGTACAGTACTAGGAGATGTTAGTTTGTTCTTGTTGAAGTTTTTTTTAAATATATTTAAATATATTCTTGCAGTATATTTGTTTTTAAAAATTTTTAAGTCCAGCAACAAACATGTGGCCAGCAACAAACGTGTGGCCAGCTTTAAAACAAACGCGTGGCAAGTAATACGTTAAAGTTTAATGCTGCTACCTATACATTTGTTCATTAATAACGCTTGGTCCAACCAGAAATTTTTTCCAAAAGGTCACAAAAATCACAAAAATTATTGAAACTTTCTAGTTTCATTCATTTTTGCACATCTCTTTGCTCAAGTTCAATTCCAAGTAGCGGAAAGTTAGCTAATGTTCCATCTATCTACAAAAAAGGTCAAAAGCTAACGCTGAAAACTAACGCCTGCTCTAAATTAAATCTTTCTATGCAAAATGATAGATAAACTTGCTAGAGATGCAATGCTTAAACAACTACTTTCTAACAATCGTCTTGATGCAAGTCAACATTACTTTACCCCTGGTAAATCTTATAAATTATTAGAACCATTTGATCTTATTACTCATGCTATAGACGTTATGACGTTATTGCAACTTTGCTTGACTTCGCCAAAGCGTTTGATAAAGTCAATCACTCTCTACTTCTTCAAAAAATTCGTGCGAATGGTTTTGAAAAATGTATCTGCCTGTGGATAAATGTACTTTTATAAAATCGGAAACAACAGGTTATGTTATAGTTGAACGTTCTCAGTGGTGTGTTCATGTATTGAACGACTACTGTTCCTTATTTTTATTAACAATATGCCTCGTCAGCTCAACCACATTTGAAAACTTTATGTCGACGACACCAAACTTATCGCAAAAATTAAAATACCCTCTAACCTGCAACAATTACACATCAACAATTTTCTTATCATCAATTACAAATTAAACCGATATTGGCTCATTTTGTAGCGTTGTTTATTATTCTCTTTAAAACGAATTTCAGAGTTTTTTGCATATATACCTTTGTCAAAGATGCTTCATGAATTTAGAAAGCTTATTATTTGCAGTTAAGTTTATACCATTGACAACTGCATTCTAAATATTTGGATTAGCTAAGTTCAAGTTTTCATGTATATATATATATATATATATATATATATATAAATATCAATGAATAAATACCTTGTATATATGTATAAATATCAATATTTTTCATGTATTAACTATATAAAATATGAATTTCATATACAAAAATCTTGTAAATAGGTATTTTAAGATGTATAAATATTAAAACAAGTTTGTAACACTGATCTTGTCGTGCTGAGACTCAATTATTACATAACCATTTAGACAAAAAATACATGTAATGTTTTCGCCAAATAAAATTAGATACATCATTTAACTTGTAAAAATCATTATTAGAGACCAGGCAGACATCCGCGGATTATAAACCAAATTTATATTGATAATAATGAATTTCAAGTCTCAAATTATAAATAAAAAAAGTACTTTAAATACGACGTCATTTAAAATCATTTTATTCGACATAACTTACATGCTTACTAGTAACACAAAAATATTACTTTTAAAAAAAAAAATTTGCAAAAATTTTTTTCAAAAAAAAGCTTTTACTCTACAACTTAGAAGCATAAATTTTTGAAAATGTATTTTTTTTACTTTTGTCCACCACCTGGCCCACTGTGCGGCATAATCAAAGTCGAATAAATCGAAACACCATTGCTGGCTCCTGCACTTGCGCAAACAGGACGAGCCGTTGGTCTTCAGGGTTTTTTCCCATCATTTTCAGGCACCAGGAGTTATTAAATGTGCAGCTCGCAAAACTATACAAACGTGTGGCAACCAATTGGAGTGCATTTTCTCCTTATTTACTTATCTTCAATAGAAATGTACCTGAAATTATCAACGTTAACACTTTCAAAAAGAAGCTTGACGGATTTTTTAACTCACTTCTAAAAAAACTATATGATCAATACTTCTGTTTCTCGATTGAGATTTGAGTAAATTAAATATAACAAGTCTAGAATAAAAATCGAGATTTTGAGGCGCAAAACATATGGTTTTTGTCCCTGGTTTGTAATTTTTAAAATTTTTTAGTTCAAATCCCGACGCATACGAAATAGTATAATGTGCGCAGTATCTTTAGTAAAATAAAAATAAACATGGCAGTCTATTTTACGCGGTACAAAACTATATCGTGACGATGAAAAGTTAAAGACAATGAATTTTCAAAATTTTGTATAAATAAAAAAATGAAGGCAGTAAAAACAAACGATCACCTTTCAGAAATAGAAAAAGCTTTTTTTCTAAATGTCAAAAATGGTAAGTGAGATATTAATTTTTCTTAGTCTTGTTCTTTAATCTACTGCATCTAATTTTTTATTCATTTGCATATGCGAACCAAATAAATTATGATATAAATAGATAAAAAATGTTGCACCAGTGCCTAAATTTATTTATATATCTAAAACATAGATATATTTTAAAATCAAAATAAACAAACAGTTTTAGTAAGTGTTTAAAAAAGCTGATTTTTTTAACACACATCAAACGATATTTCCAAATAGTCTCAGGAAAATAAATATCCTAAGCTTTGATTCATAATGTATTACATAATTCTATTTTTTTGTTTAATTATAACAAGAGCAATTTTTAAAAATTGGATGTCTTTAGTATTTTTCCTAAGAATTGAATATTTTTCTTATTATTACCACTAGAAGTACCTACTTCTAGTGGTAATAATAAGAAATATATATATATATATTAGGTACGCGCACTGAAATTTTTATTTTGATCATCTAGTAGAATGTTATATATCATTAGATAGGCCTTCAATACAGTATTTTAAAGGTGAAAAAATTATAAAAAACGAACAATTCTAAAAAAAGTTATAACATTTTTATTAGCAAATTTTAGATATATGGAATTGTTGAAGAAACTGTGGTCAAAATAATTATTTTTTTCACTTTAATTGTTATAACTTTGTCAATTTTTATCCAAATACCTATATCTTGGTATCACAAGATAGGTGCACTAATGGGCTACAAGTTAATTTTGGTGCCTGGATGTAGGGTGTATCTTGGGAGCCGAGGGGGTAATGAAACACCATCTAACCCTTAAGAAAATACAAGTTTTTGTCAGAAATAAGCACTTTTTAAATGTAATTGTTATATTTTATACACAAAATTTTGCAATAACTTGATTCCAAAACACTGCCAAACAAAATAACGTGACCTTAGAGTTGGTCATAGATGTGGTTGTGATGTTATAACACCCTAAATTCAATAATAATACTTTTTAATATAATAAATAATTTAAATTTTTTTTACAGTAATTAAATATTTTGTTAAAAAGTAAAAATATTTTTTTTTTACTATAAAACATTTATTAGTGATGTACAACACTAACTTTAGGGGAGGGTGTATGTCGCACCGCCGCCCCCCCTTCACTCATAAAAAATAAAAATAATTTTATCTTTATTACAATAATTAAATCCACTGTTAAAAATTAAAAATACTCTTTTATTAATATTTAACATATATTATTGATATATATTGATACATTGACTTGAAACGAAGGAAGTATGATGCACCACCTCTTCCCCTCCCCCACCTGACAAAAAATAATCTTTTATAACTATAAAACATACATTAGTATTAAAAATATTGTTGTATTACATAAAGCAATATTTTTTTACTATAGAACATACATTAGTGATGTACAATTTGAGGAGAGGGATGGTTTTCCCCCTTCCCCTCAACCAACATAAAAAAGAAAACACATAGAAATGACATTTTCAACACTTTCACATGCAATTATTAAAAAAGAGAAAGCACAATACATAATTGTCTTACCAAATTACAAATTGCACAAGTATCCATTTTCTCATTTAAATGATCATATTTAACTCACCAACCTAATAAAAAAAAATAAAAAATAAAAATGTTTTGAAACAGTAATTACTCTATGTCTTGGCTTTTAGTAAATGATTTTAATTTTAAGTTGGAAATGACCTATAAGCTTCATATAACAAAACACAAAAGTATTAAATAGATAATATAAATAGGAATAAGAGGAACTTAATAATCAATCAGAGACATGTTAGATTCATAAATTTACTGTTTGAAGGTGGTACAGATGGAACTAAAAGTAAAATTTGTTTTAATAAAAAATACAAATTGCAAATGGTAATAAATGCTTTCATAGTCTGAAAAGTAATAATTTTTAAACTTACTTGACGTGACAGCTGAAGGTTTTAATTAAAAATCAGTTGATAAGAAATGCAATTTCAAAAAAGAATATGCAATTGATAAGAAATGCATACATATGTTAAAAGAAAAAAGGTTTTGAAACTTACCAGGCGTAGCACACGTAGAAAGAACTAAAGGTAAAAAATATATTATAAAAATCAATATTGCAATCAATGAGAAATTTTTACGCATTAAAAAGAGTTGTAGCACAAGAGGTAGATACTAAAATTACAAAGTTGTAACAAAAAAATCAATATTTTAAAGAACGAGAAATGCATACACATAAAATGTAATAGTTTTTTAAATTACTAGTTGCAGCACATGACTAAGAAAGTAAAGTTAAACATATTGTAAAGCTTGCACATTAAAAAGTATGAGTTGTTTAACTTACCAGGTGTAGCACAAAAGGTAGGTACTAAAATTAAAAAATGGGAAATCCATACACGACAAGTAATAATTAAATTTATATATACATATATATATATATATATATATATATATATATATACATATATATATATATATATATATATATATATATATATATATATATATATATATATATATATGTATATATATATATATGTATATATATATATATATATATATATATATATATATATATATATATATATATATATATATATATATATATATATATATATATATATATATGTATATATAAATTTAATTATTACTTGTCGTGTATGGATTTCCCATTTTTTAATTTTAGTACCTACCTTTTGTGCTACACCTGGTAAGTTAAACAACTCATACTTTTTAATGTGCAAGCTTTACATTATACTTTATTTATTATATTTTTTACTTTTTAATGTGCAAGCTTTACATATATATATATATATATATATATATATATATATATATATATATATATATATATATATATATATATATATATATATATATATATATATATATATATATATATATATATATATATATATTTCTTCAATGGTTAATAAAAGTTATGCTATAATAACTTATCAGCTGTAGTCTGTGCATATTGGACTAAAATAAAAAAAAAATTGTATAATCAAAAAAAAAAACATCTTGAAATTGTCAACAGTCAATAAAAATAACAGTTATTAAATCAGCTCTATATATATCTATATATATCTATATATAGCTCTATATATAATCAGCTCTATATATATATATATATATATATATATATATATATATATATATATATATATATATATATATATATATATATATATATATATATATATATATATATATGTATATATATATATATATATATATATATATTTATATATATATATATATATATATATATATATATATATATATATATATATATATATATATATATATATATATATATATATACACACACATATATTAGGTACGCGCACTGAAATTTTTAAATTAATCATATAGTGCAATGTTATATATCATTAGAAAGGCCTTTAATACAGTATTTTAAAGGTGAAAAAATTATTAAAAACGAACAATTCTAAAAAAAGTTATAACGTTTTTAGTACCAAATTTAAGATATATGGAATTGTTGAAGAAACTGTAGTCAAAATAATTATTTTTTTCACTTAAATTATTATAACTTTGTCAATTTTTATCCAAATATCTATATCTTGGTATCAAAAGATAGGTGCACTAATGGGCTACAAGTTCATATAGGTGCCTGGACGTAGGGTGTATCTTGGGAGCCAGAGGGGGTAATGAAACACCATCTAACCCTTAAGAAAATACAAGTTTTTGTCAAAAATAAGCACTTTTTTAATGTAATTGTTAGATTTTATGCATAAAATATTGCCATAACTTGATTCCAGAACACTGCCAAACAAAATAAGGTGATCTAAGAGTTGGCCGTAGATGTGGTTATGATGTTATAACACCCTAATACAATAATCATACATTCTAATAAATAATTTAATCTTTATTACAGTAATTAAATATTTTGTTAAAAAGTAAAAATATATTTTTTTACTATACAACATACATTAGTGATGTGCACACTAACTTTAGGGAAGGGCGTATGTCGCACCGCCCCCCCCCCCGCCCCTGCCCCAATGCATAACAAAAAATAAAAATAATTAAATCTTTATTACAATAACTAAATGTTAACAAGTAAAAATAATATTTTATTACTATTCAACATATATTATTGATGTACACATTGACTTTAAATAAAGGAAGTCTAATGCACCACTTCTCCCCCCCCCCCTCCCTACCTAACAAAAAATAACGTCATCTTTATTTCAATAATCAAATGTATTGTTAAAAAGAAAAAATAATCTTTTATAACTATACAACATACATTAGTATTGAAAATATTGTTGTATTACATGAAGCAATATTTTTTTTCTATAGAACATACATTAGTGATGTACAATTTGAGGAGAGGAATGGTTTTCCCCCTTCCCCTCAACCAACGTAAAAAAGAAAACACATAGAAATGATATTTTCAACATTTTCGCATGCAATTGTTAAAAAAACAAAGCAAAATACAGAATTGTTTTACCAGATTGCACGAGTATACATTTTCTCATTTAAATAATCATATTTAACCAACCAACCTTATAAAAAACAAACAAACAAAAAAACAAATGTTTCGAAACATAGTAATTAATTTATGTCTTGGCTTTTAGTAAATGATTTAAATTAAGTTCCAATGCAACTAAATAAATCATTTTTAACAATAGACACCACGTGAAGGTAAGCCAGAGCCGCCTATCTTTTTTTTTTGCAAGCCACAAAACTTGCTATACCTATTTGCAAGCCACAAAACTTGCGGTACTTATTTGCAAGCCACAAAACTTGCGGTACACATTTGCAAGCCACAAAACTTGCTGTATCTATTTGCAAGCCACAAAACTTGCTGTATCTATTTGCAAGCCACAAAACTTGCGGTACTTATTTGCAAGCCATAAAACTTGCGGTACTTATTTGCAAGCCACAAAACTTGCTGTACCTATTTGCAAGCCACAAAACTTGCTGTACCTATTTACAAGCCATAAACTTGCGGTACACATTTGCAAGCCACAAAACTTGCTGTATCTATTTGCAAGC